CCCCCAAACAATCATTTTCAAGTCTAGTCCCCTATGCTAGCTCGTGTTTCTTATGCACTATCCGAGGTTCTGCTACAGTATCATTTTTGTGGTTTGCACTTGACAGAAGTTTTATCCAGCCCCTAGGCCCTGATTTCCTATAATCAATCTTACATTAGCATCTAGGGAACTTTTGCTACAAGCTTTACTTATGCTGTAATTTATGATTTTGAGTGATTTGAGCAACAGTTCTTGGTATCTAATCTTTAATCTATGCAATAGGCATAGGGCCCCAGACTGCTTTGAAGCTTGTACGTCAACATGGGTCAATGGAGAGCATATTGGAGAATATTAACAAAGAGAGGTACTTTATTTGATGCTTTATGGAACTGAATTCATCAAATATATGTGCATGCATTCATTGGTAGTTAACTAGCTCTCCTTTGCCAGCAGTCTTCACTTATCCTAATCCTGATAAAATGACACATAAACTATTTCCATAAGCTAGTTGATCACATAAACTATTTCCATGAGCTAGTTAATTATTAGTTCTCTTGTTTCTCAAGGCAGAAAAAGTGAGAAGATGTTAAAAATTTAGAAATTCCTTTTAAAGGAGTTTGTTGTAAACGTAAAGGGATTTCCACTTTTAGTGCGTACTATTGGAGCCTTTATGGGTTAGCACTATTTGATGGACTGTACACTAAGGTGTCGTTTGGTTACCAGGATAAGGATGTTAAACCCTGTAAAATTTGGGATTATGGCTATCCCATGTTTGGTTGTTGATATTAACTAGGGAAAAGGTCTGAAATTACCCCTATACTATGGTATATAGTTTACATTTGTCCCCCGTTATACTTTTCGTCCAAATCCACCCCTACCGTTAATAAAGTATGTAAAATTACCCCTAGCCCTAACGGATCTCCAATGTGGCCGCCGACCCCTTGTGTTAATTTGTCCATGTCAGCAGCCAAGTCAACACCTAAATATAATTCTCACTAGGTTTTATTGACCAAAATAAGTGGGAAGAGGAGAGAGAAGGATGCCTTCCTTGGTAGGAAATGGAGGTTGGAGCAGCCAACTTTTTGAATGAAATCAATCTCTTCAGTTGCCTTTTATATTCATTTACAACATTTGCTCCGCCGTCAACCACCACCTTCTCAGCTGACTGCCCAGCCCTAGCCCCACCGCACCATCATCTCCTTTGATGTTTTTCAAAAAGTTCAAAATTTCCGACAAGCCGACGAGGATAAACTCGCCGTTTACTCATAGCCGGACAAGCAGCAAGTAAGGATCTCCATTGACTTCTGTAAGAATGGTAAAGATGTATTAATACATCACAAATAGAAGAATAAATTGTTAAGAGTTTTGATTAAAAATGGTGGCATGACGGATCTAGTTTCCGGCGTCGGCAACTGCTAAAGGAGGGAGGCGGGGTTGGTTATAAAACAAAACTAGGTTAAATGTGAGAGAATTGCTTTTTTAATTTTCTAATTAGTAAAGGCAATAAACAAGATATTAGGTGCTGACTTGGTTGCGACATGGACAAATTAACAGAAGAGTCGGTTGCCAGAGTGGAGATCCGTTAGGGCTAGGGGTAATTTTACATACTTTGTTAACTGTAGGGGTAGATTTGGACGAAAAGTATAACGGGGGGCAAATGTAAACTATATACCATAGTATAAGGGCAAATTCAGACCTTTTCCCTATTAACTAATACCGCTATAAATTTTATACCAAAATGGTGGTATGAGCTATCCCACATAAAAGGCGGGATAGAAAATCCCATAGGGTATCCCAGAATTATAATCCCATGGGATATCCTCGAACTGAACCAAACGACCCCTAAGCTCCCGGTATGTGTGGAATCTCGGGTAGGGTTGGACCATGTTTGATCTATTATACACAGCCTAGACTGGGCTGCCTTTTCTTTAAAATAGTTTATCTCAAAATATGTGGTGTAGTAGCAAAGGCGCTACTCGTGATGTGTGGGTTAGGCGCACACCACTGGTTCGAACCTTGCTGCGGAAAAAGCCTGGTTTTTTAGTGGAGAAGTGTTGAGATGCGGGTCCATTATCTACTTGTATTTCGAACCGTGTGCTATTGGCCCTTGAGGATTTCTTGGTTATCAAAAACAAGTTACAATAATTTTCAAAAGTTTTCAAGAGAGAAGTATGCCAAGTAATTGACATACTTGAGAACTCTCCCTCCTCTCTATCTTTTCTGTCTTCATCTGTCACCTTGTTTTGGTTGTGTGGTTTGCGGAGTGGGGGTGGACTTCACTGTAACATCGTTGGTAAATTGTGATGTCGGCTGTTGAATTCACCATGATTACATCATATGTTGCTTAAAGTATTTTCATTGTTGATCCTATTACAGATATCAAATACCTGATGATTGGCCATATGAAGAGGCTAGACGGCTCTTCAAGGAACCGTTAGTTACAGATGATGAGCAAACTGAACTAAAATGGGCTGCTCCTGATGAAGAAGTGATTTTCTTAACTGAAGTTCTGATTTTTTTGGTTGGTTGTTAATGATTTTCAACAGAAATTTCATTTTTATACTTTTACTCTTTAATAGGGGTTGGTTAACTTTCTGGTAAAGGAAAATGGATTCAACATTGATAGAGTTACGAAGGTATATTTCCCTTTTCCATTGAACCTTTTGCCTCTATCAGACAGAAAGATTTCTTCCACCTTCTTTAAAAGGATACAACAAACTACTTTGCTTCTGGCTTTGCGCAGGCAGTAGAAAAGATCAAGACAGCCAAGACCAAGTCTTCTCAGGGACGGTATGAATTGCTTAGAAAAAATCTATTGATGGTTAATAATGTTGGAAAGAACTACCATTCCCTTAAACTTCTTCAAAAGTGGGTGATGGGACCTTGAATATTATTTCACCTTGTAAAAGCCTTTAATATATGTATGATGTTTTAGAGTGTATTGGTAATTTTTTGTGGTATCTTCTAACCATGATGTTTTGCATTTTGCGAATTTGTGGTCTCTTTCTTGAACAGGCTAGAATCATTCTTTAAACCAGTTAGCACATCTGCTCCAGTTAAAAGAAAGGTACCATTTATGATCCTCTTGTCCATCGGTCCAATGCACTGGGCTCATCTCATGGAGGGAAAAGCCAAAATGTAGTTGTCTTGTAGAGCCCTTAATGCAAAAGAACCTTTCAACTAAAAAAGATATTTGGATATTCTGTTATGGTTTGTCCGTAGCTGTGGCACTCTTTTTGGTTTTTTATTTTGAACTTTCTGACCCTTGTTTAGTGTTATTTCAAAATTAAGTTACTCATTTACTGTTAGGATAACATTTAATGATTGCCAAAATTATTCAATTGCTTTCCTTTTATTGGCAATAGAAGAATTGGATATCATTTATATGTTATATTCACTTAATTAACAACTGTAAATTACGTGTATTATGAACAGTAATTGGCTATGTTCTTTTGTCTTCCTTTTAATCATATCTTGTGCATCTTATGTTGATCTTTCTTGGAAGTGAATGTCTGTTGGGATTGAATATCAATTTTAGGTCATCTATCATTTGTAGTGCTTTTCCGAAACCCAAGAAGTTTCTTTCTCTTAGAATACAAATTTCTCAAGCATAGCCTTTTCCAAAAAAGTATGCCCATACTAGATATAGAATTTGTTGATGTTTATTCCAAATTATAATTGGTTGCCCCCATAACTTTTGGTACATTGGCTCACAGGGAACTAAATGTGTTCTTGTGTCTCCAAATCCTGTTACCAAGTTTAAGACACTCTCTGTACAATCCAGACCCATGGTCCTTGGCAATCAAATCTTCCCGTCTTTAGATTTGGGATCGAATTACTCCGTGCCGTTATCCAGACACGTCTGCTTCGGCACATGCTGCTGTAAACCCCTCATGAACTTTGATCTCTAAGTTTTCGCCATTCATAGTTCAAAATGCTCTAATTTAGGTATTATTTTTGCTAAGATTGCCGTGCTGAATAGTGAATACTGAATCTGTAAAAAAGAAATTTATTGAAGAAGATTACGAATAGAAATTGTTAATTCATGAAGATACAGGTGATGCAACTCAATGTCATCCTCCTTTCTCAAAAAAATAAAATTTGGTACCTTTCTCAAAAAAAAGGGTGGTACAACTCAAAATCCTCCTCCTAAAAATTGTGTCCATGAACTACTTGTGAACAGACAAACATCAAGCTGAAAAGTAACGTCTACATAGGTTGAGCTGGCAGTAAAGCTAATGACTTTGAGAACTGCAATTTGGAAAATTTCGTCCATCTTTTTGCTGGAAGTTATTACGTTAATAGATAATTTTTTATTTCAAATGGACAACAGTTAGTATGTTTTTAAGCTAAGTACTCTTGGTATTATTTTCTATTTGTGACATTTTTGGTTTAGTAAATTTTTGAACAGAATAACAACTCTGAAACGACATATCTTTGGCTGAAGATGGGATCTTAATATGACACTCTATTTGGTCACAGGAAACAGCTGAGACTACTGAGAAAGGAGCTGCTAACAAGAAATCAAAGGCTGTTGGTGGTAAGAAGAAGAAGTAGCTAGCATCAAGTTAAAGCTTGCAGTAAAGTGATGGTTTTGTACCTTGTCAGGTAAGATGATTTGACCTAAATTATTTGATCGCTGTCTACTTTGACTTTGTCTACAACATAGATTCTGATGGCACTTTGATGAGTTTTCCCAAATACCATTGCCCATGTATCGAGCCTAATTAGTGTATAAGATGTCAACTGAATTGAAGTGGCTAATGTGTTTCCTTTGGATTTTTGTCGACTTCAAAAGTTGATTTAGAAATCCTTTTGGTTTCTGCATAGTAATTTGGTGTCCTTTCAATGCACCAATATTACATGCAGTTCTCAAGATCTAAACCAGACAGGAATTGCAGTATGTAATTGTAGAGATATCAAGGATTCATATATTACATGCAGTTCTCAAGATCTAAACCAGACAGGAATTGCAGTATGTAATTGAAGAGATATCAAGGATTCATAGTTGGAATGTAATGGAAGAAAAGATAAAAAATGACTTTGTTTCTTTTCCATAATGTACAAGTGAAGAAAAAAAGAATTGGATCATCTATTCACAAGTACTTCCGGACTTGGATTAACAGTGTGTATCTTAAGAAGTTTGATGTGCGTTTCACTTAGTATCGTCATGATTTAACTCGACGTTAGTTAAACCTTCATTTCTTTGGTTTTTGTTCTCTTTGTGGAAACAATAATGCACTGTGGTTTCCTCTATCTGCTTGGAAGGACAGTCAGCGGTTCAGTCGCGATGCTGCTTGCGGAGACCCTTGGTAGCTGGTGCCTCAATTTTTTTGTTCTTCTGGAGGAAAATACTCCAATTAGTCACGAGGCCTCCTTTCAAATGTCTCGTTCCTTTCATGTGTTCTGTATTTACCCCCCCTCAAATGAATGAATTTGTGCCGGTAGGAAATAGTTGGTGCACAGGCTGGGCATCTGAAACAGTTTTTTAATATAGCACTTGGCACACTTTGATGTTATTGTATAAATCTGGATTATCCTACGGTTCTCGTCCTATGCTGTCGGTTGCATGTACAACTTAATGCATAAAACAATCCTAATCTAACCCTTGGCACAGTTCTTTCTTCTCTCGAGTCTTAGGCATTGTGTTGTTGCTCGCAGAATTTGTTAACTACAGTAACCGAAAACCATTGCTGAAAGATGTGGGAGTCAATGAATAATAGCCCAGACTTGAAAACATTGCCTTGGGAGATACTATCACATTGTCCGTAACAAAACACCAACTTAAATAGCAAAATTCTCGGTTCTTGAAACTACAAAGAGCTGTTGGTCATATGGAGGTTAATATGCTTTCTTTTCCCTATTTCTTATGATCGGTAAAATATCCAATCTAAGAAAAATTCTATTACTCTTATGAATAGCTAATTAAATACATAATAACTACGTATACGTATCTTATTTATAGCCTTTTTTGGCATGATTCTTTTTTTTTTTTGTGTGGCCAAAAGTGTTTTTTTTGTCGAAAATAAGGTGTTTGGCCAAACTTTTTGAAAGAAAAAAGTGCTTTTGAGTAAAAGTAGAAGCAGTTTTGGAGAAATAGAAAAAAGTAGTTTCTTTTCAAAAGCACTTCTTTGAAAAGCACTTTTGAGAAAAATACACTTAGAAGCACTTTTTAAAAGCTTGGTCACACACTGATTGTTGCTCAAAAGTGTTTTTCAAATTAATTAGCCAAATACAAATTACTTCTTACCAAAAATACTTTTTTAAAAAGTACTTTTGAGAAAAACTCTTTTCAAAATAAGCTGATTTTAGAGCTTGGCCTAACATGCTATTATACTCTCAAACTTTTAAAATTTTGTTAATCTGCATTAGTCTTTTGTTATGTACCGGTAGACAACTTCTTCAAGGAAAGTTCATAACTGGTATTACAGGAGTGTCACGTTACTAAAAAAAAATTAAAATTAGTTATGAATTTCGTCGCTAACCTGTCATTAAGTAGCTCGTAGCTAATACAATTATTTGATAATCTGTCACTAATCCATCACCAATTAGGATTAGCAACGAATTTTACTGTTTAACTATAGAATTTGTCCATCGCTACTTTCTAACTTTTTTTGTTTTAAAGCAGTCTAAGGTCTTTACTCCACCAGCCAAACGAAGAAAAAGTATAGTGACTATAAGAAGTAAATTCATATGCTCATTGCTTTCACATTCGTAACATTAAATTTCTTCCTATTACTTTCTTGTAGATATAGAGAAAGTATATCTTGCATGCATGCTTAAATTATCTAATCTGAGCAACATTTCTTGCTCCATCCATTAACTTCATCAAGTGCTTAATTAATGCTACTATACCAGATACTTACGTACGTAGATATATTTTCATAATTTTGACAATTTCTTAACCTTAGTATGTATCATTCTTTCCTTGTTGAATACATGCATCGTTACAGTGGAAAGATTGAGTTCAGATATGACTTTATGTACTGCAAATTCAGACGAAGTTAATTAGCTTTTTCTACTTTTATACAACACATAAATGAAATTAATTGTATATGTTAATGTGATTTCTTTTTACAAGTCGCACCAACTTAATTGTAGTGGATTAATTGAATAACTTGGATCACATATGGATCCTAGCTGGAATTGGTCTATCATGATCTCATGCAATGAAACTCCTATAAATAAAGCTACCATTTTCTCTCCTTTTCTACGTACTATAACTTCAATTCCTCCTTTAGATTACCATGGCTTCCTCCAAAAACTACATGATCCTTTTGGTTATCACCATTTTAACTATAACTTTTAATAGTGCTTCTGCTGCTGATCCAGATCCCCTCCAAGATGTTTGTGTCGCAGATCTGAACTCAAGTTAGTATTCTTTTTTTCTTTTTTCAATAACCAACTGCTCATTTCCTCCTTGGTTAACTTATAAATAGTTACGTATGTTTTTTCATTGATAGAAAATGTCTCTCTTTTCTCATTGCTTTCACTGTTCTTTCTCCCAACTATACAACTTCCTCATCGTCTCTTAAGAATCTCTTATGTAAATATGATAAGCGTAAGCAAAAACGTCTAGTTGAAACTATCTTTGGAGCAATTTAATATTCACCTCCCACCGTGGCTCC